CGTAATATCGTATCGTATTTGCCCTAAAAATGTAGTCATAAGAGCTGTTTGTGTCTTTATATCATGGTGAAGTTCAAGAAAGAAGATTTGTTGTAGTTTTTCTCAGTGGAGCATAACGTGGCTACTGCTGTCCAATCTGGCATCTCAACGTTTAATATTTTGCATACAAACTGAAAGATACAAAATAATTTAAAAGGGTAAGTAGCTGGAAAAACAGAAAGAAATCCCCAAAAATGCTGCCTTTTCTAAATCAAAAAATCATCCCTGAACCCTTAATAAATACCTTTTGCAGTTTTTAAATGATCTCATAATTTAATTTATTAATGACACTGTGATTCATGGAGAGAGAAAAGTGGACAAGTGAAAACAAAAACTCAAATTTTTTGGGTGGTGATATATATTTCTCAATGTTTACAAATAACTATGTTTTTTTTTTAAATGCGGCATAGTACATTACAATTTTTTTTTTCAGAGAGCAAAATAAATATATTGCACTTAAAAATCATCAAAACACAATCTCGTTCGGTGTCATATCATGGCATACAAAATAAAACGTTTTCATGTAAAAAAAAAAGGGAGATTATTCTCAGTGGTGAAGGGGGAGGGGGAGGGGCTTATGGTTACACTGATGATATTAACACTCGGTTCTGTCACACAAAGCTCAGGTAAAAGGTAAATTAGGAGACGTCCTCAATGAACAGATTGGATAAAACGAGCTGCTTGCACATGAGTGATTATGCAAGGGGTCAGAAGAGCATATATGTCCATATTCAACTTCAACTGGCTTCATATGATGTGAGAAATGTGGCAAACTGTGACATTAACAGTGTTTGTGAAACCCAAATGTATACATTAGTTATAACCCAGCACAGAGAAAGGTCTTCATCGTCCATAAAGCAGTCATAAATCAACACGACGTCCCATTCCTGATGCTTCCAGGATGCAACAAGCCCAAATATTTATAGATTTGTTTCTTTGGATTTTTTTCACGGCAAAAAATCTGCACCAGAACCAGATATCTTGTCTAATATTTTGCCGTCAAAGTGAGATTTCCACCTGTAGGAACATTATTGGAAGTTGTTTTGAAATATTGTTTTTTTCTAGCAATTAGTCTTGGAATAAAACTTGATGTCTGACAGAAAACTGATATTGTGGGGGTTTAGACAGATGATCATACATTCAATTTAATTTGTCACCTTAACTTCTTGGATGTTATCATCTGGACATGCTATTTTCTGATATGTGATAGACTCTAATCAGAAAAGCACCAGAGGAATAATAAGTGAAGTGGGACAAAAGTGGCAACATGGACAGTGTTCTTATGAATAACATCTCTGCAAATTGTTGTCATTTATCAGCCGACAAAAAACACAGATATATCCGTCTCTAGTTTTTAGGATTCATTTATAGACAGTGAGACGAAGAGATGGAGAGTTTTTGATCATGAGCTACTTGATTTAAAATGTGGTGCTTCACATGGTGTAACTTGTATTTCTTCATATCTCTTAAATAAATGACTCCCCCCAGTGAGCTGCCGTTTGTATGCACCTGCACCGGTAATGAGTGTCACCACTTGCCTTTAGTAGCCTGCATGTTTTAAATGAGAGAAGAGAGCCATTACTTCCAGGTGCAGACGCTCTGTCCTCGCTGTGCTGCAGCCATGAATCAGAGCGCTAACAGCGAGCGCGAGCGCTAACAGCGAGAGCTAACAGGCTGAGGCCACACACGGCCACAGAAACACTGGGATGTTTCACACTCATGCTGCTGTCTGTTTGCAATAAAAACATCAAGTCACGCTGCTGTTACCCTTCAAATGTTTCTGCACATTAAAAGAGATTTCAGTAAGGATGAATTAAAGCCTGTTTGTTTTCCTAAAGCCCAGAGGAAACACATTTATGGCCCCGGAAGTCAAATCGGACTTCTTGAAACCTGATACTTTAAAAACACATTGTGTAGTTGACTCCATCTTAATTAAGGCCCAGTCACACCAGTAACTCCCACAGCAAACGCATGTGGCGTGAGGGTCGTTAGAGCATTTTGACGGGGGAAAATAATATAAATACATGATTTTATGGAAGTTGTTTGACATATCAGAGCCACTTCTTGAACCATTTGTTTTTCATATAAATAAATAAGTTATACTATAGTCTCCAAGGTTTTTGATGTCTCTTGTAGCTTCAGTAACATCGGCACGGTGGGGACAGTTTGCTATCGGTCATTGTCAACGTGTTCTGAGGAATAACTGCAGGAAAATCATTCTGAATCATCCACAGATTTGATATAAATTAATAGATTTTGATGTCGTTTTTTTAAATTGTGGTGTGACCGAGCCTTTAAAGCACACAAAGAGCCTCACCCTGTTGCAGGTTAGAGCTTATTCATCCCATAATATTCCATATAAAGTTCCCCAGCGTGTTTCTACTGCGGTCAGCATGCGTCCTTTGAATATTTTCTTTTAGCAATCTACAGAGAGGATTTCTCTACGAGTAAATGTTGCATTAATGCATTTGAAACAGACATTATTTTCAACTGAGCGAGGAGCTGTACATATGGCTGGCTTTCTATAAAACAGAGAAAAGCTGAGAGTCTGCGACGCTGAAATGTCCTCAGTGTCCAACAAACTGCAACAAGTCCTCTTCTTAGGTTGCTTTATTACAGGATCACACAGCTTAATAAATGTCCTTTGAGGGATTAGTTTGTCTTCTCCTTTTCGTCTGTAAAGCCTCGTGGACCCTTCAGAGGGTCTTCTAAATATTGTTCAATTGAGTTTCAAGGTGAGCATCCACTTTCTGTTCTTCACGGGCCAAAACCAAACACGCCCCACTGTACAGTCTTAGGTTGTTTTGAGGTCGTTTGTACAATGTCAGTAAAGCGTTCGTAGAAACACGAGGCGCCACGGCCCTTTTTTTTTCATCATCAGAACGCCAAATCCCCTTCCTCTCGCTCGCTAAACTATTTACACAGACCAGGGGGAAAGGTACAAACAGGATGAGGAGTGGTGAGTGGGGGGATAACTGCTTTCTCTGGGGTGTTGAGGTGAAGATGGGCCGTCTCCTCCCCCAGGACGGAGTCATACGAAGGGCGTCATGACGGTGGAGGGGTGCCGCAGCCCCTGGATGGCGGCGTACGGCCCCTGCTGGAAGTAGTGGTGGTAGCGGGGCATGTGGAAGGAGGGGAAGGAGGGCCCGCTGCCCTGCAGAGCGCCGGGGGTCAGGGGCATGCCCAGCCGGCTGTAGGGGGGGAGGGAGCCCTGGATGGGGTGCGGCAGGGAGCCGGAGCCCATGGCCGACAGAGACTGTGGGTGCTGGAAGCCGGAGAAACCAGAGGCAGAGGTGACCCAGGAGCTCAGGGAGAGGTTGTCTGAGGCGGAGAACGCTGAGCCTGCAGGAGGAGACAGGTATTAGGGTGGAAGTGGCTAACTGAAGGATTTTAAAGATATTGAAGTGACCCTAACCCTGTATATATTGATTGTTGTGCTTTTGTTTTAATATGTGCATATGTATAAATGTTGATTGTGTATATATAGGAATGACATATTTGTATTTGGGATTGTGGGAAACGGTATTTCGATCTCTCTGTCTGTACACACCAACTGAAAGATTGACAATAAAGTTGACTTTGACTTTTAAGAGGACACATTCTGCTCATTTTCAGGTGGTATATTTAGTGTCTCTAATGGGACATGTCTCTGTGCTTTAATGTTCAAAAAGCTCTTTATGTTTCTCATACTGCCTCTTTTCACCCTCTGTCTGAAACCAGAGCCCAGTCTGCTGATTAGCTGGCCGGCTCTGTTCTGATTGGACAACCGCTTAGATATGTCCCGCCCCTTAGCCCATCGCTTACAATGTGTTGGAGCAGTAGCCAATAGAAGTGCGAGTTTTTCATAGTGATGTCACTGTTTTACAAACGCAAACAAAGGAGTCTAATGGGAGCGTTTCAGGCAGGGGGGGAGAGAAGCTCCTTCTGGAGGGAACTTTGAGATTTTAGCCCGTGCAGACCATTTACATGCACACAAACCTATATAACACTACATGAAAGGGAAACCCCCAAAAAGCATAATAGGGTCTCTTTAAATAAAAACTCTATGACTAAAAACTGAATTGAACTCAAAATCGATCTGGTTAATATTCAAATCATTAATCAAAAGTTCCAACAAGGTGTGCTGTGTGTGTGTGTGGCCTAGCATTACTATACTTGTGGGGACCTAAATCTGTTTACACAGTCACGTGTGGGGACTCACCTCCCTTATGGGGACTTAATGGAGGTCCCCATGAGGGGAATCATTAATTTTAGGGTGAAGATTTGGTTAGGTTTAGGATTAGGGTTAGGGTTAGGGTTAGGCATGTGTTGGTTATGGTTAAGGTTAGGACAAGTCTCCAGGAAATGCATGTCAGTCAATGTAATGTCCCCTGAAGTGATGTATACATGGTGTGTGTGTGTGTGTGTGTGTGTGTGTGTGTGGCATCGATTTGTTATGCACAATACGGTACAGTACGTAAAACAGCATGAACTTAATAGAGAATAAATGGAGAGACAAAGAAAAGACAAAGACAAGGGTGATTCAATAAAGTGAAGTAGAAGAGATATACAAGATGGAGAGCTGACGTGGAGGAAAGATAAGAAAGGAAAGAAAGAAAGAGAAGGGAAGACATCATATATGATATAGGAGGATGGGATGAAGATAAGGAAAAAACACAAAATAAAGAAGTTGAAGACCGGAAGAGAGGAAAAAGAAAACATATCGATGAAGGAAAGTAAACGTTTGGATAAAACTAGAGAGAAAGAAAACACTCAAAACAAGACAAGAAAAATGTAAAGGACAAAAGAATAAATAAAAAAAGTAAGAATGAGGGAGACGACCGGGTCAGAAGGAAAGAGAAGAAAGGAAAGCAGGAACAGAAATAAAACTAAAGAAACAAGATACAAAAGATAGAAAATATGGAAAGAGGTAAAAAAAAAACGAAGAATGTAAAAGAAAAAATAACTATTGAGGAAAGAAGGAAAGAAAGGAAGATATAAACACGGTAGCTTCTGTAAAGCAGCGGTCTCACACACACACACACACACTCTTGTATCTTATCGTGAGTAAACACACGGCGCAGGACCCAGAATCCCCTGTACCTCTCCATGTCCGTCAGCCGCGAGGAGTCCCGGAAACCTTTGGCGAACGGGTTGCTGTCGATCTTCAGTTTGGTGATCTGGGAAACACCGGAGCGTAAATGTGTCGCCTTTATTTCAAAAAACATTCTGTTTCTGTGTTTTCTCCCGCCCCAACACGCTGCTCCCTCCTCGGCTCTCTTTACAAACACAACAGAGCTCAGGGTTTAAAGATATGTATTAACTTTGATACTTACTGTCCTTTTTGTATTTCCATTGACTTCTCAATACTCTACAACATCTTCAAAGCCTATATTGAACTTTTTAAATACTTGACCAATTACTTTGATATAATTAAAAGCTACTCTACGTGTCTTGAAGCTTCTCCTTTGAATGGGAAGCAAAAGCAGTGTTTACAAGTTGATCCAAAGAAGAAGAGAAGGCATTGCCCTTCCCATCACTCACCAGCTGGTTCTGATAGGCCGTGACGGCGGTGAAGACGGTCTCCGTGAAGACGAAGGTGCGAAACTCCTCCGACTTGAGGTTGAGCAGCGAGGCGGTGTGGTCCTTCTTCTTGATGATGTGGACCCGAGGCTGGTACTTGTGCATGGAGTTCAGGATGATCTGCAGGAGGACAAGCGGGGCAAGAATGAATGACGGTCAATGGGAAACGTGGACGGGTCAACAGCGAAGACGGACGGTCAAGGTGTAGAAAAAGGTGGCAGGAATCCTGTGTTCATCACGTTTTGGTTATGACACATGTATCATTGTTACGTAATTAGCTTGAAGGCATCCCACTGGGCTTTGGGGGAAAAGGAAGGTTGTTTTCACTGTTTTATAGACTCACTAAACAATGGAAAACATGTTGAGAAAATACATGAGAATTCATCCTGTTGACATGCAAACAATTTGAAGGCTTTACTCAAGAATTGTTCACACATTATCCAACAACATTAAAAGGATAAAGTGCATATTTTTGATTATTTAAACACATTTAAAAGCCATCCTTTAGTTTAAGAAGTCTTTAAAGTGCTGCTTAATATTGTTGATTTGAATGCCAACGTTTTAATGAAAACTGGGCGAACTCAAGCTGCTGATGAAGATCATGTGATGTGATCAGAAGCACCAGAATGGCCCTTGCACCCATCTTAATTAACGTTAAAAAATGTTGTTCTGGGTTTTTTTTATTTTATATTTCACATTTTATGAATTTATTTTTGGTATAAAAAATGTGTTTGTTCAAACAAGCAGCTTAAGTAAAATATTGACTTTATTAAATATGAATATTCACTATCTGGATAAGGGATTTACAGTAAAGCCTGTTTTTGTTCGATGTGCTCTTTGTTTGTTTTGGTTTCTTCCCTGTGAACATCAGGAGCTATTTTTGGACTGGTTCTAAAACTCTTTAAGATAATAATCACCTTGTTTTTCAGGCTGTGTCTAACGGCTAATTCATGGATAAACTTCAGATGTTTTAGGTTCTGAAATGTTTTCCTGCTCCCTGCTTGTGCTTGGCGTGGTGCCTTCAGGGAACGGAGGATTAGAGGAGCGACTTGGTCTTGACAGGCGAGTAATTATAAAGTCCCGAGGGCTTTGAACCTGACACAGAGACAAAGCTTTGCAATGGAAACTCTATTTCTGGAAGATACTTTAAAAAAATGTTTTCACAAGCAATTTGGTCGATATCCAGAATTCAACTGACATATTTAGTAAGTCAGAAATTGAAACAAAAACGTTTGAAGTCCTAAACACAAATAAAACTAATAGTCATTTTAAGTACAGTTTTATACAAAGCTCAAATATAAGCAGGCACAAGGTATTGCCTTTCTGGTCAAATGCAGCCATCTTAATGTATTTTCACAATGTTTCCAGAGGTGGGAAATAGTACTGTAGTACCCAATTTTGAGGTACTTATACTTGAATATTTCCATTTAATGCTACTTTATACTTCTACTCTACTACATTAATATGGGAACTAATGTAATTTTACTCCACTACATTTATTACACAGCTTTAGCTAAATGCATCTATAAAAAACTAGTTGACTAACTCCACAAAATAGTCAAATCATTTAAATATTTTACAAAAATGAAATCAGAACTTTGTTAATAAAAAGATTATTGATGAAACATTATCTATAGCCTACATGTCACATATAGTATGAATGTAATTATACACACACATCAAAGCCATTTTTCTGCATGATTACTTTTTATACTTTAAGAAAAATTTGCTGATTTTGTACTTTTACTGAAGTAAGATTTTGAATTCAGGACTTAAAGCACTGGCATAATTACAGACAGTAATATAGGCCTATTGTAAAAACATATGCATTGGTTTTACAGCCTACGTGACGCGGATTTATTACTTGAATGGCGACTGACTGACTGATTTAGATCGTGTGCGTTAGTGTGTTAACAAAGACAGAGTAAAGAGTAACACGCGCTCACATGTCCGTGTTGGTCCAGCTCGTTGTTCGTCAGTTTCACTTTCTCGAAGGAAACCATTTGCTTCACGAGCTGCTCTCCGGTGAACGGGGAGTCCGGGTGCACGTACAACCTGAGGAGGGAGAATAAGAAAAAACCCCGTCACATTCTCAACTGTGATTGGCTGAGCGGTGTTCGATAACCAATCAACGCACAGCTGTGAAAAAAGGCTAGTAAGAAAAGTATAATTCACCCAGCAACCGCGTTCCATATGATCGTTACATATTGGAGAAATATTTAATTTATAGTTTTAAATTATTTTCGAGGTTATTGGTTATAGGTTACATTGCATGGCTGCAGGACAAATCAACATATTTTGTTATGATTTACAAATTAAAGAATTAGCGTATATAAATGTAAATTCAAAATAAGCATTAGACTGTAATAATTAGTCTACACTCAATCATAAATCCGCTTTCCCCCAGAAATGTATTAAATAATGTATTAAAATAACCCTTTTAATAGTTGCCTAATTTAATAACTTCTCAGTCTTATATAGGCTATTTGGACATCACGTCCCTCAATATAACCCAAGACACAAAACTGGAATCATTTCAAATTTCAAATGTATATAGTAACTTATTTTTGCTAGGCTTAAAATGGTCAAATTTGAGAATCCTATTGACTCTAAAACCTGCAATTGATCCGAAGAAAATACCGAGGACATGACCTCACTGTCATTGCCTGGATTAATAGCAAATACGACTTCATCTGGCCTATTGTTGAATTGACATCTTCATGACATCAATCAGCATGGCATGAATGTTCCCAGATGCTTCCTGGTAAACAATTACATTACTTCATCGGTCTCCATTAGCTCTTTGCTCTCCAGTTTTCTATATGGCCCACATGTTGTTCAATAAAAACGATGACTAGCGTGTCTATCTGTCAGGTACATAAACTAAATTAAAAGATGATATAACCTTGACACTTTAAAAACAGTCATTGATTTTCACAGTCTGTATTTTCTACGGTGGGCCATGACAGGTGTCCCGGTTTGTGTCCCGGTGAGAGGGTGTACCTGGCGGGCAGAGGAGGGTCGGCCTTGCCGGCCACCAGCCAGGAGGACCGGTGGTAAGCGTACCGGTATCGCTTGTTGTCCACCGGGACGATGTCCATCAACACGATGTACTTGGAGTCCTGGTCCACCCCGGAGAAAGAGACCCGGATGGTGGGGAACATCCTCCTGATGGAGAGGAGACAGGTGTTATTTGTATTATTGTGATAGTCCTATACTGTATGTAGGTTATATGTTCATGTTGCTTACTTGAAACTACTGAAAAACATCCAATTGTCCCCATTTCCTCTCCCGGAGAATACAATAGCCACAAAGAATATTTTTGATTTCTTTGATTTTCATTTATTTCTTATTCAATGTTTTTTATTTCCTAAATGTTATTTCCAAGCCCGAA